CATTTAATTGTGCCATGAATTACACACATGATGTTTGTCAATCTTAAAAAATCATTTTCATGTCAAAAAAGTCAGTTTGTCGTAAAACTGTTGAAATATAAGACTATGAAAAATACACAACTAGAAAGACTACAAATCCCAGAATCCCGGTCCCGCATGCTGGCTCTTACGGAACCGACTAACTCCCCTTGTGTGTATGTACAGCTCTCAACATGCCCAGACTTGGAGTGATTTTCACCTCTTTTAATACTTTTCGCCTCATTCTAAAAGAAAGAAGTGAAATGTGCCAACGTGACGCCATCTGGGTGTGTGGTGCGAGACGGGAGATGTAGTTCATTGAGCGGTTTCACACAAAGTGTTACTTCACAGTTTTACGACATTTAATTTTTTTGACTTGCAAAATTATCTTTTAAATTGACAAACATCATATGTGTAATTCGTGGCACAATTCAAACGGGATCAAAAGATAATCTTTCTCTCTCCATCGACTTCAATACATACTTTTTCCGAGATAAGGTCCCATGGAGCTCCCCCGGAAAGGGAGGGGCTTCGCCTCTCTATAGATCATGTTATGTGTTCTGTGTAATAACAGGTCATATTTTGTAACTTTTTTCTCAGGAGAAAGCAGCTAAATGGAGGATGCAGGACGGTCACATGGACGGACTGACCACCAACGGGGTTCTGGTGATGCACCCCCGACAGGGCTTCACCCAGGGCTCCAAACCCGGCCTGTGGAGGGAGATCTCCGTCTGTGGAAACGTGTTCACGCTGAGGGAGACCAGGTCCTCTCAGCAGAGGGGCAAGATGGTGGGTGAGCCTTACTCTGCATGGGAGCTGTAGATAGTGTTTTGATGTAAACACATCAGTCAATGTTTTAAGGTAAACATTCAGTGTTTCTAACAAACATGTAGTTATTCATCCTGGCCCTTTGTCAGTGCATCGATATCTGTCTTTGCACATTACTGCCACCATCTGTGGATCATTAGAAATGCACCAGAGCAAAGTTGAGTTTGACTCGTGTAAATGAGCAACAATGGAAGCTTTAAGAAGGACATCATATCTTCCACTTCACACTTTAAGAGAACTGCTGTTTGACATGTAAACTAAATCATAACCATTAAGTTCAAGAAGATGTTTAAGAGGCAGGAAACCGCTCAAGCTTTCTTTCGTGACAATACAAAAAGCAATTCCAGCAACTGTTTCATATGTTTTTACTTTTATCAAATAGTTTTCAGAATTTCTTCCCTCATTTTTATAATACCTATGTATTTTTTATTTTTTTTTCTTCATTTTTTAAGTTGGATGCAGCAGTGTTAGCCAAAAAAATATCCTTGTGGAAAATTAAGCATATTTTTTAAATCGTTTTTTATCCTATCGTATAGTCTCGTGTCTTGTCTTATGGTATCTTATCATGTCGTATCGTAGCGTATCTAATCTTGTCGTGTCATATTGCATCGTATTGTTGCATCAGATTATAGTATATCTTGTTGTGTCTTGTCATATCGAGTTGTTTATTGTCATATCGCTCCGTATTGTAGCATAACTTGTCTTGTCCTATCGTTGTATCGTGTCATATCTCCTCTTATTCCGTCCTTATCTTATAAAAGACATTCCAACAGGACTCATGGTCCCACTGTATATCTGCTCCTCTCTCTCCAGATGGAGCCTGAGTGTAACGAGCTGGTGGACGGCTCCCTGGTGGACCTGTGTGGAGCGACCCTGCTGTGGCGCACGGCGGAGGGCCTCGCCCACACCCCCACCGTCAAACACCTGGAGGCCCTGAGGCAGGAGCTGAACGCGGGGCGGCCGCAGTGCCCCGTGGGCCTCAACACGCTCGCCTTCCCCAGCATGCGGCGCAAAGACGTCCTGGACGAGAAGCAGCCGTGGGCCTACCTGCGCTGCGGACACGTGCACGGATACCACGGCTGGGGGGGCCGCCGCAACCCCGAGGTGGAGGCGGAGTGCCAGGAGAGAGAGTGCCCCATGTGCCGCACGAGGGGCCCCTACAAGCCCCTGTGGCTGGGCTGCGAGGCGGCTTTCTACCTGGACGCAGAGCCGCCCACACACACATTCATCCCCTGTGGACACGTGTGCTCGGCGAAGACGGCAGCGTACTGGAGTCAGATCCCGCTGCCGCACGGCACACACACCTTCCACTCTGCGTGCCCCTTCTGCATCGAGGCGCTCAGCGGGGAGGCCGGCTGCATCAGACTCATCTTCCAGAGCCCGCTGGACTAGAGACCCCTCAGACTGATTCGCTGAAGAAAAAGAGTGTCCTCGACCACCAATGAGAAATGGACTGTACTTATATAGCGCTTCATCCAGTCTTTACGACCCCTCAAAGCGCTTTACAAGTTCATCTACATTCACCCATTCATACAGAGCACCTTACTCTAGGAACTAACATTCGTACACACTCATTCACAACTCAGGGTTCAGTATCTGAGGGCAAGGATACATCGACATGTTGACTGCTCTGGCTGGGATCGAACCCACAACCTTCTGGTGGAAAGACGCCCGCTCTCCTTCGCAGCCACAGTCGCCCATAAATCCAGTTGAAGTAGTTTGACTGTTGTGTAAACGAGCAATGAAAGAATATCCGTCTCTTCACACTTTAAGAGAATTATTGTTTAACATGTAAACTAAATAATAACCTTTAACTTCAAGAGGATGTTTAAGGACTAGAGACACCTCAGACTGCTTGTCTAAACAACAGAAAAACGAGTTCTTTCTATAACTTAATTTTGTATAACTTAATTTAACTTAATTTTTGAGCAATAGAAATACATGTATTGGGTTTTTGATCCAGGCTTTGTTGTCCTCCTCTGAAGTGGTGAATGTTCCTCCCTGGTCTAAACTGTAAATTGCAGTGAATGTATTCCCTGTAATTGTCACACTTTGCAAAATCATCCCGCAACAACCCTGCCTTATCTAAACAACAGAAGGCATAACCATGAGTCTGTTTGATCACTTAATTTAACTTCATTTTGAGCAATATAAAAACATGTATTGGGTTTTTGATTCAGGCTTTGTTGTCCTGTTCAAGTGGTGAATGTTCTTCCCTGGACTAAACTGTGATGATTGCCGTCCACTCTGTAGATGCCGCCTTATAGTAACATGAAAGTTGAGGAAATGGCAGTTAATGGTAATTCCTGTAATTGTTGGCACTTTGCAAAATCATCCTGCCTTGTCTGAAAAACATAACCCTGATTCCTTTTGATAACTTAATTTAACTTTGAGCATTATAAATACTTGGTTTGATGCCTGCCCTCTTTGGAACGTGTATAATGATGCAGGCTTTGTTGTCCTCCTCTTAAGTTGTGAATGTTCTTCCCTGCTGATTCGCTTTTGATAATTAATTTAACTTTGAGCATTATAAAGTCTTGGTTGATGCCTGCCTCTTTGGACGTGTATAATGATGGCAGGCTTTGTTGGTCCTCGCTCTTAAGTGGATGAATGTTCTTTCCTGGACAAAACTGTGATGATTTGCCTCACATCTTATTTAATTCCCTTGACCTCGTTCAGTAATGTGTATTGTAAATCAATGCAATATCTAAGCAGAGGCCTTAAAGATAAATGAAGCCTAATGAGCACTGGTTTGGGTTTCATTGTCTTTGGTCTATTTGTAAGGCTTTTCTATGGGAAAAAGGGATAATGTAAACATGTTGGTGAATAAACTTACATATTTCTGTATTATAATTATTGTGTTGGAAAAAAACCGAAAGTGAGCGCTCCCTCTGCAATGTGGTTTTCTAACGAGCACAGCATGCTGTGTGTAATGACCTAATTCCCAGCTTTGTATGCATAAACAATATTTATTTTCTTGTGACTTGAAACACAAAGATTCAGAATGAGTTTTTAACGCAAATAAAAGTACATACAGACAGAAATAAAGAACATAATGGCGCATCGTGAGGCCCAACTCCCAGCTTGGAAATAAGAACTATTAGTGAGTAAATTCAGAAAAAGGCTACCTGCAGTATACAAAGTCATTGCAATCACCCCTCCTTTCACACCAGCCGCTTCTCTTCGCGCGCGCAACACCCCTTCTCATTGATCAATCATTATAAAACATATCATTATATATTATTTCTGAAATGGACCAATCGCACATGACTAACTTTTACTGTCCGCTACTTTAACTATATTTTGGAATGATAATACTTTTCTACTTTTACTCGATATTTTCTAAAACCATTTAGTGCTTCACATAATAAAATACACAACGGCTGTATCCTGATATATCGCTTTAGCGACTGTAGGTGTGTGTGTGGTTTGGTACAGTGTGTAGGTGGGTGGTGGTAAGGCTACTGTGTGTGTTTTTGTGTTGTGTGTGGTGTGTGTGTGTGTGTGTGTGTCGTTGTGTGTGTGCGCGCGCGCGTAGATGCGGCGGACAGACAGGTGGTGTCCTACGCATTACCTTTTGAATACTTGTAATAAAACTTTAAAAAATAAAAAATGAATTAAAAGTATAATAAGTCATCACGACATCATCTGTCAATCAGACAGAGGTCTGCTGTGCCTCCTGTTCGTCATTATGGCCGTCTTCTTTAAAATGAACCGCTCAGTGGGAGAGGATTTCTCATTTCTCTAACCGCCTGCTGGGCTTCCCATCTCTTTCCTGCCGCTCGCATCTCCTGTGGGCGGGACTAAGACAGCTGAGGATATGGAGTTCGAGGGGGAATTGAGAAAGGAAGTCGACGGAGGGGAGTCGGGAGGGGAATTAACGAGAAATGAGAAAGGCCCCGGTCAGCAGCGGGCCAGCAGCTAGTTTCATGAAGAGAGAAGAAGTAAGCGGCCGCTCTCCTGCGGTGGCATGATGGTCTCTGCTGCTGCTGCTGTTGCTGTGTAATGTTTCCTCCCGGTTCCTCCGGTGTTCTGTGATGGTGAAGAGGAAAACACACGGGCTGCTGTGCTTTTAACGGACAGTAGCGACGAAACACGCAGTGTGTCGACCTCATCCCAGTTTTCTCTCTCATACCCCTCCGCCTGTCAGAGGTTAGCCGTTATGCTGCATAGTATTAGTCTACGTGTAAGCCCACAAGCATTTAGCTTTAGCATTAGCTTACTGCACAGCCTCCGGATATTCCAGGCCTGCCTCGAGCCCTGTCATCGTTGTTTTATGCGGGGTTGTGTGTCTTTGGTTACGCCGTTAAGTGTTTGACCTCTACTATCATAGATCACTGGATTCTATCGGCTAAGGGCTAGCAGGGCAAGCCTCAATGCATGGAAGCTTTAAGCTAAAGCTAAAGGCTAGCTTCTGTCACTGCGCTGCCTGTTTCTGCTGAAGAACAGCCAGTGTGGAATGAAGTACATTTACAAAATGCTTCTAGCTTATATTTTGGAAAATGGAGGTGTTTGTAGCTGTACTTAAGTATTTACTTTTGATCATGAATATTGTATCTTAAGGAAAGTAATAAGTACCCAAGAGTGTAGTAATAATTAGTATAAATGTCTGCATTCAAATGTTACTGCAAGCGTGAAAGTATTAACATTCAACCCAATATACTTACTATGTAATCACATTAAAGTAGTCATTGTGCACATTTAGTAGTAAGTACAACACTGCTTTTTTATTTAACTTCACACTTTCTAATCACTAACGTCAGCATCTCAGCTAAATATTGATCAGCTTTTACTACCACATCTTTATTTCTGAAATCGTTTTATTTATTTGGCTGCTGCGATTCCCTCTTCTATCATCCAATCTGTACTTTTATTGAGCAGCCCAAACATGATATGAACAGGGCAACCAACATTGCTGGAGTAACTATTTAAATCCCTTAGTTATTATATTAATAGAGTTATTAAGGGTTGAGATAGAGCTTTATTTACAACAGCTGAAATATATATACTGTAATTGATTATTTTGGCTTTTCTACAAAACACAGACCAGTTGAACTTATAACACATTATAGAAGATTGTTGACGGAGAGAGTCAACAGTTGACCTTTCTTATAATCGACTCTACATTTTATATTTACATTAAGTGCCCTGAGATGTATTATAGCTTAAACCGGCCAGAACACAGAAGCGTCGAAATAGATCAGCACACGAACATACAGCTATCAGCATGTAGTAAACACATGGCGACATACAGATGGACGGTACACACATCTTGTGTAATGTTGAGTGATTGAATCACATGTACATCATTACTGAGAAACAACCACACATTTTCTTTCTCTGTCTTTATCTGTCGGAAAGAACATATGTTTTAATATGCATATTATGAGTTTTTTTACAGAAGGCAAATAGGAGTTGAATCTCTGACAGTCCTGGTTTTATTATTATGCAACCTCTTAAGTAAAAAAAAAGCATCAGCTCTGTTTCAAAAAAAATAAATTGCCCAATCATTTCTATTTTACCTCCGCCCACCGACGTCCTTTGTTGGTGTGGTGAACAGCGTCTGCACAC